TAGGTAATGGCATTCATCGAGCGTTTGGGTGGGAAAGGGATTGGGTTTTACTGTTGAAACTATTTCTCATCACAAGATTCAAAGGATATGAGGTTTGCATACATTTCTGGTGTCCAATGAATTATATTATTAAATCACTTTTATTTTATAGATTTTAAGTGTTATTCCGATATTATTCATGAAAATTATTATTATGTCTAGGAATAAGTCCATAATATAAACTCCATTTGTCTGCCATTGCAATCATGTATACTGGTACACTTTATTCAATTGTCCCTAAACCAATACTCAATATGTAAAAAGTTTTTAATTCAAATTATTTGTGTTTCTATTTGAGTTTCACTTTTCATTTGGCAAACAAATGACAAGTAGTCTTTATTTTATGTTAAATTATGGCTACTGTTAGGTAGACGTAACGTTAAGCAAATAGTTGTTGAAAGCTCTCATTTTATGTAAAATAGTTTATGTATTCAAATAAATTTATATTATAAGGACTTCACTAATATTTTAAATAATGAAAAAATCGATAAAACTTCATTGATTATATAATTAAAATTGTATTTGAATGCTCACATGTCAGTTAGATTAACTTATAATATGAATCAGTCAATGGAATAACCGGTTATCTCTATATTCAAACAATATGAATTGAACTATTAATTATAAATAATACAATATTGTACTTGATTAACACACTATCTATAATACATAGTGTTTAAATATAGAGATACCCGGTTATTCTTTTGACTGATTCATATATGCATAATCGGAGTAGACGTATAGTTATAAATTACAGATATACCTATTGTAGTTGAACATCCCCAATGTTGAAAATGTCATTAAATTCATCAAATTAATTAAATAATAAACAAAAATTCAAGTATATTAGATAACTGTATTACGGATATTAGCATAAAAATAATTTATTTTTACAAAAGTAAGTTTTATAAAAGTTATTTATTAAAAGAATTGGTTTTTATATAAGTTTTCTAATATATAGACAAATTATTTCTAATATTTTATAGTTTCTCGTGAACCACATTACTATTGTTTGCTCACAAGTTATGCAAAATTCTTATGCAATTAAATCAATTCAAAAATTCATTTTTATTACTGTTTTGTCATTTAATTAAAACAAATCACTTGTAAAACTATGTACCGGTTGAGAGAGTTTCTAACCTATAATAAGCGGTTTGTTTTTGTAAAATTAAATAAGTATTTTAATTAATTATCTTTAAAAATCAAAATCAGATCTATACTAATGACTGCCATTCCTCTGGTCACCCAATTCTGTTCAGTCCATCGCTTTAGACAACGATCGCTGTTAAGAAGTACTCATTTGATGCCAAAGTATATGAAAACCTATTTATTTTGAATGAATACTGAATTCAATTTATAATTCAATAATAACTGTTTGACTGAAGAATCGATGGAATCGTTCGTAGCTATTAAGCCCTTCTACCAGAAGTCCAATCCATATGAATACGACGGACCCAACAATATGTTGGGCTCCGGGTTTATAGTGGACGCGACGGGTCTGGTGTTGACGTGTGCCAGTTGTGTCACTAACTTCAAGGAACTGGTGGTCATCACTGGTAACGGTGCCAAAGAAGTGAGGGGTAAAGTGATTGACTGCGACCACAGCTGTGACTTCGCTGTCATCAAACTGGACGGCGATCGACACGACTGGCCAACAGTTGTGTTCACCGCCACCGATAGCCCTGTCAGGTATTCGGTGGGCACTCGGGTTTTCGTGGTCTTCAACCCATTGATAGACAAACACAACAGTCTATCCTATGGTGTCATTAGTAGTCAGTATATGAAGGGCGGAGTTGTGAGCGATCTGTGTGTTCCGGACAACGACTATATGTTACACTCGGCGCCAATGTTTCGAGACTTCGGCAGTGCTGTGCTGGACATCAATGGACAGGTGGTTGGCATGAATGTCGACCAAATGAATGGCGTGAACGTCGCCGCCACTGCTTATGATTTGATGGGTAATGAGTGGATTAAATCAAGAGATTGTGGATACTATTAACTTTTATCTCAGGCTATATAAATCTGGTTATGGATAAACTGGATACTATTCTGTTGGATAAGTGGCCACCACTTGGAATGATATTGTATTGGTTGGATCCGGACAACCGACAATTCCTTGAAGACTATACAAATCACTTGAATATAGAGTTTCCGGATGTAGACACCGGAGCACTAATCTTCAGTATCGATAAAACCTCTTACGCTCACGAGTTTGTTCAATGAATTTTTGCTTTTTACCTTTTGCTTGATAAGTGGTATTTAATTATTTAATATGTTTTTAAAGACAAGGCGTCGAAGAGTTTGATGTGATTACACATATCGGCGACAAAGAAGTTACTTCTATGGAGGATATCTACGAAGGAGTGGATCTGTTCCCATATATAGTCGTTATGTGGATCCGAAAGGCTGATGGAAGTGGACATCGGGTAGAGATTTATAAGCAGACACCCAAATGGCAACTATTTTAGTCTATTTTCTATTTTAATATATAATTTTTATTTTTACCATCAATTGATTCTTACAATTCACAGTATTTTTAATAAAATTAAACATTTCATTATTACATTGGATTGCACTTAATTATTATTAATCAATTGGACTATATTGATATGATTTCAAATACTGTATAAAATCTATAAATTGTATTTAATTATAAGTGAGATTTAAAAAAATTCTTTATGAAAAAATCTTATAAATAATATTTGATTTAAATAAATATAATTTCAGTTAAAATAAAATAAAATTACGGTAATTCATACATGATTTGATTTATAGATAAGAAAATAGTTTCAAAACAGGTCTGATTGTATTGATTCAATAAATATGGTATAAGGAATTTAAGTCACTGACAACTGTATAACATTTCAATATAATTAACTCTAATATTAAACAATAATTAGAGTAATGCCTACATTAAAGTCAAATTTAATGGCATTTGACTATAAACTTGACATTAATGTGATCACAATTTTTGACCAAATATTCATTGTATTTGAGATCAACTCTTTTACCGTCTCTATGCGGATATTGAATGAATCTGTTGGTTGTGATGACACCGTTTGGCACATAAATTTTATTAGCGTTTGGCATCGCTTTGTGAATTCTGGTCCCCGTCTTGCCTACAAACTGAACGCACGTTACGTCTGTGGGAAAGCCATCCCTGAACTCTTGTTTTCTCTCAAATTCTTCGTACGAATGCATCCTTTTGCTGTCAATTGAATAATATATTAAATAACAATTACTTTCAATTTGCGTTCAATACATACTAATTTCTATTAACAACTTCGCACAGCAATAGCCATTTGGTAGGCCTATCCCTACAATACTGTATACTTTTGGCCGCCATGTCTGCGAAGTAGATGCCGTCCCCAAACACACGGCCGGATGGCTGGGCGCCCGACTCTATACGCATACCGCGAGTTATAATACCGACCAAATTGGTGGCACATGTCCCGTGCCATAGCAACAGTTTATTGTGCGCTTCAAACTCTTTAAACTTTTCGGTCGATTCCTTGCACTCCAACTCATAAATGGTGTCAATTTGTAGGTCCAAGCCGTCGAGACCATTACTTTCCGACAGATAATCACTTATTATGTTATACTCATCGCTGTCTCTCGTCAATACATTGATGTTTGCGTTGAGTCTTGAGTAGAGGATATCGATTGGTTCCCAATTCTTGTAAGAATCCATTTTTGCAATTAATAGACTGAATGTTATTCTCATGGATTTCAATGTAGTCAACAGCTGTAGCTTTTCATTAGCTTTCTCTACGGAATCAATGCATTCAACCGTTTTCTGAGGAATATTCTGATAGAACTCATGACTCATATCGTGTACTGTTGTCTCTCTATCTCTTAACATGACATTTGGTCCCAACAGTAGCGCCAATTCATTCATACATTTCTCAGCGTTTTTCAGTGCATTCTTGGATACGAGTCCTAATGGCATGCGAGTGATGTCTATCTTGAAACCATACCTCAATTCGTTGATCATATTCTCGTAATTGAATATAATTTTCATGAGCTCTTGAATATCACGACCAATCCTGACATTATCTGGGTTCGAGTCAAACAGGTTTATGATTTGGTTTTTATTCTCGATGTACTTCACATCAACCAAATAATACTTGTATGGATACTGCTTAAAGTCTCGTCTTCTGTCCCATTCATCATCCGTCTTATCCTTAAATATCTGTTTAAATCGCGAAATGGCGTCCGAACTGCTCTCAAAGAACTTATAACGAGAACCGGAGGCTTTAGATCCGATGTCACCCCACGAGCGCCACAAACAATACTTCTTCGACTCGATGGAGTCGATGTACAGGAGTTGCAGATAATAGAAGTAATTCTCTTTTGTCATTAGTTTTACGTAACTTAAGACAGCGCTATAACTCTCATCTCTGTAGTCTCTGTACACCTGATAGCCGGCGCCCAGTGGACAGTTGCGGTCCACAACATCACCCCCTCCTAAAGTTAGTATCTTAACATTACCCCCTCCTAGGGTTAGTGTCTTAACATCACCCCCTCCTAGGGTTAGTGTCTTAACATCACCCCCTCCTAGAGTTAGTGTCTTATTATTGTTTGTGCTCTCGTTGTCAAACATCACTAATTCGTCCATTTGGTGGCAAATGGCGTCTACTCTGTAGCCGATATCACCCGAATCGACCACATCTTCGTTGTGTCCGTAAGCCATCGCTCGACTCGACACCGACACAGGACTCTCACTCCGATAGCTATTCATGGCAGTCGTTAGCGCCGGTATATAAGCCCTACCATTAAGAACTTCGTTGGCGTATTGGCGCAGAAAAGGGATCTCTTCGGGCAATTCGTCGGGAACTCTGAATGGGCGGCGATTGGGCCCAAGAGTCCAGTAATCGCATCCAAGAGTCTGAGTCTTGGCGCCCATCGAACAGATATAAGCGCTGCCTCTGAAGACTAGCATCCCTTGAGCTATGGTTGGGTCACATCGCGGACAGGGCTCCGGTACGCCAAACGTCATGGCGTCGGCCAATGCGTACACTTTGGACATCCGAGTCTTCTGGGGTCTCATCTCATTGTAAAGCATAAGTAGTGCCAAATCTGGAGCTTTTAGTGTCAGTAAGAGATCGAAATATCTGTATAACTCGTCGGACTGTCTCTCCAGTGACTCCCTGTCCGACCCGAGGATTTGGTCCGCGTTTGCGTCAGTGATGAAGCTCTCAATGATCTTAATCTGATCCCCGTATCTGAGATGCGCGAAGTGCTCGATGTCCTCCACTTTGATCACGTCTTCGTTATTATTATTGCTACGATTGATGACAAAACACTTCAAGTGATACCACTTCCATATCTTGTGTCGCTTCTCATGTCTGCCAATCAAACCAATGCGAAGATCAAGATATTGGATCCATTTGTGGCACCCGTGACATGTGGACCAACCACTGGTCGCATACTCGGCCCGGTATGTGGCCTCCCGGCGCAAGAAATGTCCGCACATTGCGCTCATGTCTGTGCCCTACCTCTGATGTCTATTATCATCAACTGATAGCCATTTTACACCATATAGTGATCACTAGGTCTACGGCTATTGGCACACAATTGGCACGTGTTTTGTCTCACTGTACGACTCAATGATTGGTGAAATGCATGCATAAAATGGTCACGAAATGTATGATAAACTACTGCTTTTGACGGGACAGTCGTGTTTAACACGTGTTTTATAATAAATATACAAATGAAGACAATTAGACATTGAATGCAATCACTGAATGTGCGCTCAGATCGTGGCTAATGTTTGAAGCGTTATGTCATAAACAGCTGAATGTGTTTTCATAACCACTTCAATGCATGCAATGAACGCACGCTTGCATTGCGTAATGTATTTGAGAGCAGTATGTCTATAGTATAGTCCTCTTATGGCATACACTCGTACTCAGGCATCAATTGATGAGGAAATTGACTGCACCGTAAGAATTGGCACTTAATTTGTTTGAAACACAATTTTTTTGCGTTCAAAGTTTCTTCAAATGAGAATATGTTTATACATCTGAGTAGTTAGTAATCCATTGACAATATTTTATTTTATTTACATGAAAGGCATGAATTTTAGATGCATCCATAAGCTAGCTAATCTCATACACCTATTTATATTACAAAAATATATTCTATACAATTAACAATTGGCAAAACAATATATTTCAAATATTTAATACAATTTCTAAAAGTATTCACAAAGTTTTATTTATTACAAGCAATGGGTTTAGTGTGAAAAATGTCACAAAAACGCAAATTTTCTGAAGGAGGCAGTCCGCCCCCACCCCACCCTCACAGAGAGAGATCCTGAAGATACCGGTGGAGAAGAGGGCTATTCATCAGTCAATATCCGGATCAATGGTGACCCGTGTGGAGGTCCGGTGCGAGCCTTTTGAGGCGTTCGGTTGGATGAGTGAAAGGCTATGGTTAAGAATATGAATTCCGCTCAGAATTTAGAGCAAATCTTTGAGAAATTCTCGTTTGAAATATACAAAAGTCATGAAAAATAGAGTTTGTGTTTAGCTTTATTTAATCACATTGGTATGTTTGATCTTGTTAGTATTAATTAAGAATTATCTAATACTGGTCATAAATATAACCCTGCTTATCACCTAATTTATAGTTATACGGAAAACTTTTTAAATATTACTGTAATTTAAACAATTGGGTGAAAATATTAATTTAATTGTTCAATTCTCATAACACTATAAATGGTTTAACAAAATCAAAAAAAATCAAAACTTTGAGGTGTTTTGGCCTAAAAAATGGCAGAAAAACGCAAATATGCCGAAGAGCTCAACCCAACCACAAGCCCTACCTTACGATCCGCTCAGACTGAGAGCCAATCCGAAGATTCAGAGGCAGAGGAGCAACAGGTGTTGGATAAGAGTGTCGCCAGCGAACTGTCCCCTACCAGTCCAGTGAGTATAGAATATTCTTTAAAATATTTTACATAATATGTACTAATATTTTGTTATTAATTGTCATTTTCAGGTGATTTCGGCTTAATAGAGGAGCAATCGTTTGGAGACAACATATTAGACGACCCCTTCCTGTCGAGTGTCGCGAATGGAAGCAAAAGAAGTGGATTCGTGTCAACAAATGGCCTCGAATTGGATCCAACAGTTGATTCTGAAGCTCCACTTCTTGACGTTCAGAATCCAAAAGCAAATCATTCGCTTGTCTTCACTTCAAAAGCCAACTCTAATTAATTCCGATTATCTCATCGACGGTCCGCCGAATTTATCGTCAAAAATCATTTCATTGAAAGTATGTTTCCGTCAAATATTGACTCAAATTTTTAAGTTTTTAAAATTAATTTATTCATTGATTTTCTATTTTTGCAGAAAACTTTGTACATTCAATACCGAGAACTCGAGTATTTGAGAGCAGCTCTCAGACTGAATTCATCCGCATATTCATCCAAATATAATCCCAATGTGTGTCCCATTCAGACAGACGTAGACATAATGGGCTCCAATCGGTGCCTCAACGGCGCCCAAGTCATTGATGAATCAAATATCACCCATCAGTTGGATCAGTCATTAATGGCGACGCTGGCCACCCCTCCGGCGACGCCCCAATCGAAAGGCTCATCTTCTAGTCTATCACCTCATGATAATGAATGTCTGATTGGACACCAAACCGATTCCGATATGTTTTACACCAATTGCTATCATAATTCTAATTAATTGGCGTTTTCTTTGCCTCTTAAGACAAAACACAAATCGTTTGCTGTTTTGTAAGCTTTTAAATTATATTTATATATACTGTATGTTATTATTTCTAGTTTTAATCAAATTGTTCAAAATTAACTATTTTTATTGATGATAATCAGTGCGATATTTTCGATCAAAATTTAAATCAAAAATAATTATAGTTTTTAAAAGTGAAGTAAAAATGGAGTTCAAATTATATTTACAAATATGTCGTGAGTTATAGTAATTATATTTACATATATTGTATATATTATTATAACATTTTATGTGAGAGAGAAATTTGTTGATAAAAATAATCGGTTGTATTCACACATGGATTGACCGTAACGTTAAAGCAATTTGTATATAATGTTAATCATATGGAAATGTTTGACTAATTTTTATGGTGAATAGATTCTAATGTTAAATGTTAATTAATTACAATTATTATTATTCGCTCATTAAATACAAATTATTAGTGATTATGCCTTTTTCGACTCGTAAGTGCTCTGGAAACAATATTGATTGTATTTTTAAAATCTATTTATTTGTCGCATAAATATTGTTTTCGAGATTAAACTGGGAATATACAGTATGGTCTATATATGAAATAAATTTTAAGTTAATAATATTAACTTAATATACAGTTTACATTATTTGCACCAACTATTTCGATGATAACTTATTTATCGTTTACAAAACCAGAGGTTTATATATACCTATTGAGTGCAATACTACTGTTGAATATTATGTACAAAAACAACATACAGTACAATACAAGTTCAATAAATTGACCACAAATTTGTGATTTTACAGCGCGAATGGGCTAATCACTAGTATTATACTCTATATGTTATAATAATTGAATATATACTCAACCGTTATGTAAGTGTTCATAAAATACAAGCTTTTTATTGTGAGACAACAAAAACGGTATTAAAATAATTACTGATATAACAGACAAACACGAAAACGAAGCTTACATTAAGTTTTTTGAAAAACAAGATAAATAATAGTTTTTATTATATTATGAATGCGTTATAAAAAAGACAAAAATCATTATCATGAATATTATGTATATGATATGAACTTATTTTGATAACTTTGTTGATAGTATTTTGAACGTTGATATGGAATATATAAATGTGTTTTTGAGCTGAACTTTTGGAGATTCAATGTTTCCACTGTTTTTGTCATTCATTTATTTATATTATGTTTAGTTTTTAAGTTTTTTCTCTCAATCTCTTTGAATGTCTTCACTCATTGAAAAGCACTTGTTTTTAACGAAAATCTTTTTTTCTTATTATTAATTTCTAAAAATTATTATTAATTGAATAAATATTATATAATACAGTACCGGTATATGTATATTTATCAGTCAATCAATTATATAATGATTCAATCACTCAAAAAAGTGCCGTCAATATTGTCAAATCAAACGATAAATTAGTTTTAAATGTATATTTCTCGACAACATATTTTGAAACGACAAAATTGTTTGGAAAAAACAGGAATAATTGAAAAAATAATTATATTTATTTGTGTATTGAAATTACGATACAATTGTATAATAAATAAAATAAATAAATCGTATTATCATTAATGAATATTTGATTCTCTATTATTTATTTGATATAACAATTCTGGTTCATATTTTGCAACAAATATTATAAATGTATTTTTTATACCTAGACACTTGTATTGTATTGAGTAAAATGTCTTCATATTAATTCAGTTAAATTAATTAGCCAGTAAATTATGTCTGTTTGAATTACTATTAGGTGACCAATACTTATATATGGAGTGTTCCAAGGTAAACTAAATTATGACCAGGGTAGGAAATTTTTTAATATCTTGTGAATCGTACATAAAATATTAATAAATTTCCAATATTTTGGTGTAGTTTTTGTTAATATAAGATATTTGTAAATATTTTTAATTTAAATTTAAAGTAGTTGGTTTACCTTGGGACACCCGATATAATATATCGGTATACAGAATTTATTAATACAATACATTTAATGATATTGCAAAGGTCATCAATTCAATATTTGTCCTGGACTATTTTATTGAGTAGGAAATTTTTTTAAAGATCGTCATAGTGCAAAGTAATATATTTTATTATTAAATAATAAAATTTTTAGTAACATATCCTAGTAATAAATTACTGGAAAATTTGATTCATAAACCAAGTTTCAAAGAATTAAATAATTAAAATTCTGAATGAATTCATATTATCAAACTGTTTATTATTGAATACAATTAACACTTATGTGAATACATTAGACAACAGGACAGTAGGAAAGACCGGAATGTTGTTGTGGTTTAAGTGGTGCTAAATTCCAATACCTGCACCGAAGGATTCTCGCACCCGCTTTGGGCTGTCGTTCCCGAGTGAATATGCCTTTCCTGTTACCGATTACACGACTGATCGCTGTGTTTAGAGATATTTGTGTCAATATTAATAACTCATATAAAAAGTGATTTAATAATACTTTGATCGGTCATGAAATCAGCGAAATTCCAGATGTGTTCGCCAACAAAGAATCCCTGAGCTATTAACGTGTCAAACGCTTTGTGGTAATCCATTAGAAACTCGGATTCATAGTCTTCCGAGAATACATATGCCGGGTCCTAATGGTAGACACAAATAATTTGTATATTCTTAACGCAAATCATTTGGTAAATTTATAATTTATTAAGTATACCTGATGCAAACCGGCCAAAGTGTCGGCGCCGTACTCTGAGATCATAATTGGCTTTTTGTGTGTATTATACCAATTGATAAAATTAGTGGTCAATTGTTTCTCAATTACTTCCAGATAACCAGTGTCTGAATACCAGCCGTAATACCTGTTAATCATCAGTACGTCTAAAGATTGAGACATTTTATCATTGCTATAATCCTGATTAATGGCAGCAGTTATGGGACGGGTTTTGTCGAGACTTCTTGCGTGAGCCGACACTTTCTTGAAGTAGTCTTCCGCCTCTTTTTTGGCGGATTGCGGCTCATTAGCGATGGACCACATGACCACTGATGGCCTGTTTTTGTCTCTTTGAATCATTTCAGTGATTGTCACCAAATGTTGTTTCAATAGGGCGTCGTTAAAAGCGTTTAAACCAACGGCCGGACACTCATCGATGACGACAATCCCCTCTTCGTCCGCCATATCCATCAGTTCCTCTGAATACGGGTAATGAGAGGTACGGAAAGAGTTGGCGCCAATCCATTTGATTAGATTGAAGTCCTTCGCTATTATCGGTAAATCCAATCCCTTTCCTCTAATCTATAATCAAATATCCTTTTAATTATCAAATAATTTATTAATCATAACATTCATACGTTCGCGTCTTCATGTTTGCCAAACCCTCTGAAGTAAAATGGTTTTCCGTTTATCAAAAACTCCTTTTCTGTTGCCTTAATAGTTCTGATCCCAACTTTTTGATAGTAAATATCAGTTACTTTTCCACCATCTGTTAGAGACACTTTCAAAGTATATAAATATCCGGGATTGGGGTCCACGGTATAGGGCCACCAGAATGTAGCGTTTGGTATAGTAATTGTGCCTGTATACCCTGTTCCTGACGCCACTTTTGTGCCTTTTTTGTCAAAGACATCGACACTACACTCGGCTTTAGAGGTCTGTTCGCTATGAAGGACTGAATATTCAATAACACCTGTTTTGGTGTCTTTAATATCTGTTGTGACTGTTATGTCGCTTATGTGGTCTATAGGTAAGGCATACAGAAATACATGTCTATGAATACCCGCATAATTATAGAAATCAAAATTGGTTTTTGTTTCATAAAACCCTTTCGGGAATAGTTTTGTGTCATTCTTATAGGTAACTGATCCCTGAGGTATAGTAGTGGCCGATAGTATATTATTGATGGCCACTGTTATTAAGTTATTTTCTCCATATTTCAAGACTTTGGTCGCATATGTCTCGAAGGGTAAGTGTCCGCCCGTATGGTTCAACACATTCTCGCCATTCAAATAGACATTTGTCTGGTAGTGAGCGCTTCCGAAGCGAAGTGTCACTGATTTGTCTTTCCATTCCTGGGGTACGAAGAATGACAGGTCATACCACACCCAACCCGCGTAGTCTCGGATGAATCGACTCTGTGTTATGTCGTTAAAACTTGACGGCACCGGCATTGGGATCACATCTCCTGTCTTGTAATTTATGAATAATACAAATATTCCATTAAATAAAAGTTTATTGTATTTAACATATTAGTAGTATTAAAACTTCTACTCATGTTATTAAACAGTAGTATTTTTGAATACTAAATTACAATGAAATACAAGTGAATATAATTGCATGTCTTACCAGTATTAATGGCTTTGTGTACCACTTCTGAGTGAACCCAACATTTTGGTCGTCGTCTACCGAAATGACCCGAAAGTTCCAAAATCCGTCCAAAATCTTCACTTCTCTGGTCTCAGACTCGCGAGGATATGGCCGTAAGTTGTCGGCCAATGCAGTGACGGCCAGAGTTGCCAACAAAACTAACTTTAGATAATTCATAGTTTTGTGAAATTTAGTAATAATATTATGATAACATTTCTCCACTTTTAGACTATTTATAATAAAATTAAAAGTTATCTCTTATACTTTTATCAATTGTAAGCATTTAACGCAAATTGTGTAAATATATTGATAGCGATTTGAAATAGAAAACCAATATTATTGGTTTACTTCATTTTAAATCACAACCTATTAATAATGAACTTTAAATTCAAATTAATTATTTGCTATTATGATATTTTTATGCCATTACCCTTATTTACTTTACCTACAGGTGCCTAAATTAATTATTTTATAAAAATTTTATTTATAATCCTAGAACTTATGTAATAATAATGTAAATGTAATCAATCTTTGCCCCCATATCTATATCTATAGAAAGTGTTTTTAATTAATTATTCTCTAAATCCGCTTTGATTTGGGATTTATTGTTGTTAAGCATAATATTCCTGCATATCATATAAATATTATTTATACTGTACGTATACAGTAGTATAGTACCGTATATTATAACGTATTACCGATATCTTATATAATGTACTTTAAGTTTACTCTCAACTCAAGGAAAAGTATAACTGTATTTAATTTCTTAAGACTATAGTTGGATATAATTTGAGAACATTTATGACATGTTAACTCATTATGAATGCGATAACAGTGCAACAAATATTTAAAATATCACAATTTGATTTAAAAATAAAAACTTATTATTATTCCACTTGAGATGAATGATAAGCTTAACTAAATTATACTGTGTTACATTAAAAATAATTTATTATGCATTTTAACACTTTATTCTGCACTTTGATAGAGAATTATATATTGTACACAGAAATAAGAAATTCAATTTACGGTATATGTATTTTTTGCCTAATAAGTTATCATTATTCTGTATTTAGAGCATTGAAATAAATATTCATTGATTTAATAAATCATATTTAATTCATTTAATCAAGTCAATTGAATTGATTTATAATAAATTTGAAAATAAACAGGAATATAGTAGAAATATATGAATTAATAGTCTATAGACAATAGGAGAAGCCCTGATCCTCTTGAACTTTAAGAGGAGCCAATTTCCAATACCTGCAGCGCATTACTCGGGCCGCGGCTTTGGGTTGACGCTCGCGACTGAATATGCCTTTCCGGTTACCAATCAACCGACTCGTACCTGATATAAGAGTTTTGTTTTCAATAAAAATCACAAAAAAATAGTAATTATTAAATGACTGACTCTCTCCTGTCATAAAATCTGCGAAATTCCAGATGAGTTCGCCCACAAAGAAGCCTTTGGCTCGCAATTCATCGAAAGCTTTGAAAAACTCCTTAAACAGCTCCGACTGATAGTCTTCAGACCAGACAAATGGCGGATCCTTTTTGGTAAAAATCATGTAACATATGTTATAAAATATTTTTGCAGATAATTATGTCATACCATGTGAAGACCGGCCACAGTGTCGGCGCCGTACTCTGAGATCATGATTGGCTTCTTGTGTGTGTCGAACCAATTGGAGAAATCGCTGACTAAGTTCTTCTCAATATTTGCTGATAATTATGTCATACCATGTGAAGACCGGCCACAGTGTCGGCGCCGTACTCTGAGATCATGATTGGCTTCTTGTGTGTGTCGAACCAATTGGAGAAATCGCTGACTAAGTTCTTCTCAATTGACTGCACGTATCCCGTGTCCTGATACCAGCCCCAGTACCTGTTGATCATCAATACGTCTATAACCAGAGCCATGTTATCAACTTTGTAGTCCTTATTACAGGCGCCCGTTATTGGGCGCGAGTCTAAACTCTTGGTGTGATCAGCGATTTGTTTAAAATAATTTTTAGCTTCTGGTCTTTCGGACCCTGGTTCATTGGCAATGGACCACATAACCACCGATGGCCTGTTTTTGTCCCTTTGGATCATTTCAGTGATCGTTTGTTTGTGTTGTTTAAGCAAAGGGTCGTTTGCTTTCGGATCCTTTGATTCATTTTTGAACGCAAGACCCACAGCCGGACACTCATCGATGACGACAATCCCCTCTTCATCTGCCATATCCATCAGTTCCTCTGAATACGGGTAATGAGAGGTACGGAAAGAGTTGGCGCCAATCCATTTGATTAGATTGAAGTCCTTCGCCATAATCGGTAAATCCAAACCCTTTCCTCTAATCTATAGTAAACTAAATTTTTAATAATTTATTCATTTAAATATCAATTCTTACGTTAGAGTCTTCATGTTTGCCAAATCCCGTGAAATAAAACGGTTTTCCGTTTATTAAGAACTCTTTTTCAGTCGCCTTAACAGTCCTGATCCCAACTTTTTGATAGTAAATATCAGTTGTCTTTTCACTCTCTGTTAGAGACACTTTCAAAGTGTATTGATATCCAGGATCTTTATCAACAGTATAGGGCCACCAGAGTATAGCGTTTGGTATAGATATTGATCCCGTAAGCCCTTTAGTACCTGATGAGACTACTTTGCCAGTCTTGTCCAACACATCGACAACACACTCAGCTTTGGAGGTCTGATCGCTATGAGTGACTGAATAGTTAATAATTCCTGTTTTGTCTTTAATATCAGTAGTGATTGTTATGTCGTTTATATGATCCTTAGGTAAGGCATAGAGTGAGACATGTCTGTGAATACCCGCATAATTGAAAAAATCAAAGTTAGTTTTTGTCTCATAAAATCCTTTGGGGTATTTAGTTTCATCGGTCTTATAGTTGACACCTCCCTGTGGGATAGTAGTTGTGGACAGTATATTATTGATGGCCACGGTGATTATATTGTTTTCTCCATATTTAAGATTTTGTGTGACATATGCTTGGAAGGGTACGTGTCCGCCCGTATGGTTCAACACATTCTCGCCATTCAAGTAGACAACAGTCTCGTAGTGAGCGCTTCCGAAGTGAAGAGTAACTGATTTACTCTTCCAGATGTTGGGCACGAAGAAAGTCCTGTCATACCAGACCCAACCCGCGTAGTCTCGGATGAACCGATTTTGTGTGATATCGTTATAACTGGAGGGCACCGGCATTGACATCACTTCCCCAGACTTTACATTTAATATATCATTTAAAACCATATTTTATTATAATTGATATTAAATCAAAAAATTTAATTTTAGTAAATATCAAACCTCTTGTAATGGTTTTGTGTACCATTTCTCAGTGAACCCTATATTCTGATCCTTTTCTAAGGGAATGACCCGAAAGTTCCAAAAGCCGTCCAAAAGTCTCAAATCTCTGGTCTCGGATTCTCGCGGATAAAGTGCTGTACTTTCACTCAATAAACTTGTAGTGAAAGTTAACAATAAAACAAATTTCAAAGACGACGACATTTTGTCATCTAATGAATCGCTTTTCAATTTAATGACTCTACTTATAATATAAAAGTAATCAATTCATTGGTTTAATACAATTGACATAAATATATAATCAACTGAGTATTAAATACTTTAATTGATAATAAAAATCAATAATCCTGTTAAAAAGGTTTCAATGAAGTATATTAGATTATGCTTTATAAGTACCTTAGTTCCAAAATATTTAATCATTTTGTAAGGTACATTATGAACAACATTTCAAACACTCTTATAAGTTAATTATCAGATTATGTAACAATTAAGACTCTATAAATATAAAATTAACTAAAATTTATCAATGTACTTAATAATATGTGACCTAATGGTAAATTTTATCCCACATCACTTTATTTCACTTAGCAAATCACTTTATTTTGTTTAATCTTGTTATTAATTAAGAAAATTTAGGTTTTTAAAATACAGTAGTAAAAAGAGTATACTATAGGAAATTGTACATTCAATTCATTAAATATGTTATTTTTTGGATTCACTTAGAGACCGGACCAAAATGTTAACAAATTGTTTGGGTTTAGAGGGGGACAGGACGTGTCGAAAGTTTTTATAGAAATCAAACTTTGCTTTTGGAAACCACTCTTTGAGTTGACTGTACATATTGGCTGTAATTGATCCATACTTTCCACTAACAATCAATACATCTCCTGAATATTGTTTGTCATAATTAGGAGACCTGTCGATACCTTTAGTGAGCACTTGTCGGATGACCGGCAAATTGAACCTCCATTTCACAAATCCTTTGTCGTCTATCTTGAGATTCAGTAAAACAAACTGCAAAAGAGTTTTGTCGCGAAAGTAAGGATTCAATTGTTGTTTCACAATAAGCCGAGCGAACGGTAGGCTAATGTCTTGAGGAAGGGATGAGACCGTGAACTCCATGTGATCCATAAGATTGAAGCCAAATATCGGTAGATCGACAGGCATTACATCAAAGGCTACCACTTTGTCGACCTTATCCTCAAATAGTAGACTCGCGCGAAGCATAGCTAGACTACCGACGCCATGACCCACGAGAACCGCTTTATTCAGTTTGAACTCATCCATGAAGTCCTTCACATCTTTGGCCATAAAATTGAGATCCGAGTGCCCGGCGTCTGAGTGGACGCTCTCGCCGTGATTTCTCATATCCAACAGTATCTGTCAGGCAGGGCAGAAATCCCGGTTGACAAACTGCTGTAAGACTATGTACAGAAATGAGCACTTATTCAACACCATTTATTACTAGCCTGAGAGAAGCCTACCAAACACTATTAACCCAAGGAGTGAGTAGAAGGCCAGTGATGTCCTATCGCTTAGTTTCAAACTATTGCCCGATTCAGACGTGTTTTGGTTTCTTTTGCCCCAAAACCGGAAGTATCGGCGAATGTGTTGTGATAAATAATGAGAGGATAAAACTAGTGTAGACGTCTAAACAGCCATTTGAGATTTGTAAAACCCAAATCAGACTAGAGTTCTTAAGTTACTTTTGGTTTTAATGAAAAAATAAAGTAAACTTAAGGTTTTAAAGTTTAAGAATTCAAGAATTCATTGCACGCTCTCGTAATGCATTCATATTGTTATAATAGATCGCGAAATATTTCACATAAAAATTATAATTATGATCAAATAAATCATTAGGATGCCGATTAGTTTATTAACGTTATATCAATCAATTTTAATATTACATTTTAATACAATAAAACAAAATGCAGAACATATTAGACAACAGGACAGTAGGAAAGGCCTTCATGTTGTTGTGACTTAAGTGGAGCCAAATTCCAGTAACGACACCGAAGGAGACGGGCAGCGGCTTTGGGCTGTCTTTCCCGAGTGAATATACCCTTCCGGTTGCCAATGATTCTATCGGTACCACCATCTGAAGTTTGGGTCGGAGGGTTTGGTTGATGACCTATAAACCAATTTATAAAATTAGTACTAATTTATAACATGGAAAATGTTTTCAAACTCTGTCCGGTCATGAAGTCAGCGAAATTCCAGACCAGTTCCCCGACAAAGAAGCCCTCTTTTCTGAGTCCATCAAACGCTTTGTGATAATTCATTAAAAACTCGGATTCATAGTCTTCGGAGAATACATATGAAGGTTCCTAAGGGTGTAGTTTAGGTTAGTATCTAATTGTGAGAATTGGTTATTTATTAGGCATACCATATGTATACCGGCTAAAGTGTCGGCGCCGTACTCTGAGATCATAATTGGCTTTTTGTGTTGATTATACCAATTATTAAAATCAGTGGTCACTTGCTTTTCAATGACTTGCGGATAACCGCAATCTGAATACCAGCCGTAATACCTGTTAATCATAATCACATCTAATGTAGGTGCTAGATTGTCGGTTTTATAGTTGGCATCAGTAGCAGCGGTTATGGGACGGGTTTTGTCAAGACTTCTTGTGTGAGCCGACACTTTCTGGAAATAGTCTTTTGCTGCGGGTTTATCTGAACTTGGTTCATTAGCAATGGACCACATGACCACTGATGGCCTGTTTTACTGTTTTTGTCCCTTTGAATCATTTCAGTGATTGTCACCAAATGTTGTTTCAGTAGGACGTCATCAAAAGAAGCCAACTCTACAGCCGGACACTCATCGATGACGACAATCCCCTCTTCGTCCGCCATATCCATCAGTTCCTCTGAATACGGGTAATGAGAGGTACGGAAAGAGTTGGCGCCAATCCATTTGATTAGATTGAAGTCCTTCGCCATCATTGCTAAATCCAATCCCTTTCCTCTTATCTAGAGTTTAATTAAATTATATTTAAAACTAATAATTAATTATTAACAAATTTAAAGTTTATTCATACATTTTCGTCTTCATGTTTGCCAAATCCCGTGAAATAAAATGATTTCCCGTTTATTAAGAACTCTTTTTCGGTCGCCTTAACAGTTCTGATCCCAACTTTTTGATAGTAAACATCAGTTGTTTTTCCGCTCTCTGTTAGAGACACTTTCAAAGTGTATTGATATCCAGGATTGGGATCAACAGTATAGGGCCACCAGAATATAGCATTTTCTATAGTAATTGATCCTGAATACCCTTTACCTGATGAAACAACTTTCCCATTTTTATCCAACACATCGACAACACACTCAGCTTTGGAGGTCTGATCGCTATGAGTGACTGAATAGTTAATAATTCCTGTTTTGGTGTCTTTGATATCAGTGGTAACTGTTATATCGTTTATGTGGTCCTTAGGTAAGGCATAAAGGGTGACATGTCTGTGAATTCCCGCATAATTGAAAAAATCGAAATTTGTTTTTGTTATATAAAATCCTTTGGGATATAATCCTTTCGTATCATTCTTATAGGCCACCAGACCCTGGGGTATAGTCTCCTGAGTTAAGACATTACTCAGAGCCACAGTTATTCTATTGCTTTCCCCATAGTTAAGGCCATTCGTCACATACTCTTCAAAGGGTAAGTATCATTCTTATAGGCCACCAGACCCTGGGGTATAGTCTCCTGAGTTAAGACATTACTCAGAGCCACAGTTATTCTATTGCTTTCCCCATAGTTAAGGCCATCCGTCACATATGCTTCAAAGGGTAAGTGTCCGCCCGTATGGTTCATCACATTCTTTCCGTTTACGTATACAATGGTCTCATAGTTAGCGCCCCCGAAGTTAAGGACAACTGAACTGTCTTTCCATTCTTGAGGCACGAAGAATGACGAGTCATACCAAACCCATCCCGCGTAGTCTCGTAAGTATCTGCTCTGAGTTATGTCGTTATAACTCGACGGCACCGGCATTGGGATCACATCTCCTGTCTTATAAATTCATATTAAGTTATATGATTATTATAAATAAATATAAATAATAATACAGTATCATTATAGATATTAATACTGTAAATATGAATTCTGTAAAAAGTGAATGTATTTGCATGTCTTACCAGTGGTTTTGTATACCACTTGTCAGTGAAGCCAACATTTTGGTCCTCGTCTACAGTAATGACCCGAAAGTTCCAAAAGCCGTCCAATAGTTTCAAATCTCTGGTCTCAGACTCTCGTGGATATAATGCTGTACTCACACTCCATAGACTTATAATGAAAAATAATAATGATATTGCTTTCAAAGCAAACATTTTTGTCTCTTATTAATTAGTAATATTCACTATTAATATTTATTAAAAACCTATCCTTTAATTATCAAATGAAACACTTTAACAAAATACTTAAGAATTTTATATAAAATTTTTATAGGTACATAATTGACATTATTTTATAATCAATTATATTATATCACAAGTACAGTATTATATGTAATAAGATATGGCTTAAAGGTTTTATTCGCAATCAAATCATTTATTCTGAGCAATTGATAGACTTAAGTGTCATATCCCTATAATTGGAGCAAGTATATCTATATCCATACCAAAATATTTAATCAAATGTACTCAGATATTTGTGATCCAACTATCAAAACATTATTAAGTGTAGTCTATTTGCATTTAAACTTATAATATATTAATATTTTTTAAGAACATTTATAGCATATAAACACTTTAGAAATTGTGATTATATAATATTTAATTTTAATATCGCAGATAGTTTTAAAAATAAATTATTGCTTTTCCAATTCAAATAAATGATCAAATTAATTGTTCAAATTAACTAATCAAATTGATACAATATTATATTTTTAAATATTAGACAACAGGACAGTAGGAAAGGCCTTCATGTTGTTGTGACTTAAGTGGAGCCAAATTCCAGTAACGGCACCGAAGGAGACGGGCAGCGGCTTTGGGCTGTCTTTCCCGAGTGAATATACCCTTCCGATTGCCGATCACTCTATCAGTACCACCATCTGATGTTTGAGTGGCAGGCTTCGGCTGATGGCCTACATGTACACAACATATTCATGAAAATCAGGAATAATTTATAGAGCAGAAGATGTTTTGCATTGAATGCATACTCTGTCCGGTCATGAAGTCAGCGAAATTCCAGACCAGTTCCCCGACAAAGAAGCCCTCTTTTCTGAGTCCATCAAACGCTTTGTGATAATTCATTAGAAACTCGGATTCATAGTCTTCGGAGAATACATATGAAGGTTCCTAATGATGTGGTTTAGGTTTATGTTATCGTGAAATTTAATAAATTTGGTTATATTGTCTAAATACCATATGTATACCGGCCAATGTATCGGCGCCGTACTCTGCGATCATAATTGGCTTTTTATGGGTGTTGTACCAGTTATTGAATTCAGTGTTCACTTGCTTTTCAATTACTTGCGGATAACCACAGTCTGAATACCAGCCGTAATACCTGTTAATCATCAGTACGTCTAAAGACTGAGACATTTGGTCTGTTTTATAGTCAGCATCAATGGCACCGGTTATGGGACGGGTTTTGTCGAGACTTCTTGCGTGAGCCGACACTTTCTTGAAGTAATCTCCTGCTTCTGGTTTATCAGACATCGGCTCATTAGCAATGG